GGGATCAAATTGATCAAAAATATGGACATCTGTGACATTCTTTTGAATAAAACTGAGACAAATCACTGGTTTTGGATAAATCTGCTGGGACAGGGGACACAGGACTCAAAACTGGGACTGTACCGGGTAAACAGAGACGTCTGATCACGCTCCACGTGACATCACAAGGTGGAACGTGGAAGAACTCAACGTAAGTCTGCAGGGTTTGTGCGTTAAACGTGTGTGAATGAAACAAAACACAACTCCAGGTCTGTTTGTGACGAGGAAACTACATTAGAACGTGACTCGGGCCCTTTAAACTATAGGAATTGTACAATGTTGTGATGCCACATGAACCCAGCTTATAATTAAAACCACATTTACCTTAATATACCTAAAATAATTCCAAGTTTGGACGCTCTCCAAACTCACCCAGTCTCCTCGAACAGCTCTTTTCAAATCCTCAAAACTACACAATTCCCAATAATCTGCCCTCAAATTATATTGTCGTCCGTCTAAATCTGTTTCAGGACAAAAAAAGTCACGAAAACCAATTTTAGCGGCGTGTCCGAGAGGCCCCGTCGCATATGCAGCCGTGTACGCCGACGGGGATTAACGCTAAGTTTCTGTCCGCGCTCGAACCCACAACAACTTTCTAAAAAACACTAATCTGATCTCAAACAGCAGCTAAGTGTCCCGGCACCATATACAACCAAATTAATCCCAACTTAAATTGTAACGCTTAAATTGTTTGGTCCCTCCATCTGGAACGACAAGACGGCCGCTCTGAAGAAAGTGAAAGAGATTAGAGGCTGTTTAATGCTTCTGAACGGGAGATTATGTTTAGGATGGGGGGAAAAAAAAGAGGAAAACAATTTATTTGATTGACCTGAAGATGAGGCAGAGCTACGGGCAGATGGAAAGTTGTTTTTGGGAGATAAAGTCAAAAGATGGAGAGTGAATATGTATAGTGCAAAGGTAGAGTGACCAGACGTCCCAGTTTACCCGGGACAGTCCCAGTTTTGAGCCTGTGTCTTCTGCGTTTGAGGGACACGTGCAGTGTTGGGAAAGTTACTTTTAAAATGTAATCAGCTACAGATTACAGATTACACACACCAAAATGTAGTTTGTAACGGAATCCATTAAATTACTTCAAGTGAGTAATGTAATCTGAATACTTTGGATTACTTGATTTGTTGTAGAGAAACAAAGACGAGGAAATCTGAACATAAGAAGTTTTGTCGGATAAAAGAAAATGAAAAAGTCCAGACTTTACTGAACCAAATTAAAAATATTATTGATGGAGGAGGAAACACGTCCACACAGCAGGATTTAGTCCTGTTAAATCCTGTTTTAGACCTGTTTTAGGCCTGGTTTTAGTCCAGGTTTAATCCTGGTTTAGACCTGGTTTTAGACCTGGTTTTAGTCCTGGTTTAGACCTGGTTTAGACCTAGTTTAGACCTGGTTTAGACCTGGTTTAGACCTGGATTTAGACCTGGTTTGGACCTGGTTTAGTTTCCGGCAATGAGTGGAATTACCGGGAAAAAAATAAATAAATACATTTAAAAAAGGGATATAGCCCAAAATGTGAAAACAGTTAAATCCCTCTGTGTAATCCATTTATTTCAACAAAGTAACTGTAATCCAATTACCGCTCACTGAAACAGTAACTGTAACTGAATACAGTTACTCATCATTTGTACTCTGATTACATAACTCTGGTACATGTAATCTGTTACTCCCCAACACTGGACATGTGATACAAATGAGCAGCTGTGGTTGGAGCGTCTCGAGTTTGGACAGAGGTTTTTCACGCTCTGTGGTCTGGTTCCAGTCTCTTCTCGATTCAAACCAACTGTAGAAGCGACCGGCTGCTCTGGTTGGACAAGCAGACGTCTCCGTTTACCCGGGACAGTCCCAGGTTTGATGTGTCTCCTGTCCCAACAGATTTATTCAAAACCACTGATTTGTCCCAGTTTTACACAAGAAATGTCCCTATTTTAGACCAATTCGATGCCTGCTAACTAGGGCTGTCCCGATCCGATCGCGTGATTGGAAATCTGCACCGATCATGTGACTGTGGACTCGATCCGGACTCAGACGTTATGTTCCCATCAGGTATTGGATAAATAATATACATATATAACACACAGCACACAACAGTTTTTTCTGAGGCGTGGGATTTGTTCAGGGACGTCCAGTCAGTGCGTCTGTCTGTCCCAGTGTCTGTTGTACTGGAGGTGCACTTACACTGGGACTTTTGGGTCGTGTCGTGCTCGGGCGCTGTTACCTGTGGTTCTGTGGCCCATGTTCACACCTGCACGGCCGATGGCGTCGTCAAACGGCGCTGTTTGTTACAAACAAGTGGAGTTGGCGCTTTGGGCAGACAGGGTCCGTCCAGCGGTGTGAAGTGTGTATTGAGCGGTGGGACTGATGTTCCAGTGTTCCTCTGCTGTGGGTTTGTGGATGTGGTGTTGGTGCGGAACCCAGAGGCTGTGGAGCTTCTGTCATCTTTTTTTTATTTGATAAGATTTTGTTTTACTTGGAGATCATAAACTGGCCTAAATGTTTCAAATGTAATGCACACATACAATATAATATCAAACATACAAAGTGTAGATTGTGCAGAGTCGAGTCTCAGGTCTGATCTGGTTCTGGTCTGGTTCCTGTTTTGTCCAGTTCATTAAGTTTAATAAGTTACATGATGGTTACAATGATGGTTCATGGTTAGAAAAGTTAATAAAATTTAAGTTTTGGACATTAGATTTTTCACACTAAGTTCAGCCCAAATACAACACATGAAATCAAAAAAATCTGACCCCCCAAACATCCTGGTATATTTTTATATTTGACAAGATCTTGTGTGAACTGAGTGAATCATTACGGTCAGAACAGAAATAATTCAGATTTAAGTGCAGTTATTTTGTCATGTAGTCTGCACTGAAGTGGAAGGATCATGTTCTGTGTACTTCCCTCTGTTTTACTGTATTGTACTGTAGTACTTTTGAGTATCACAGTACTTCATTTCCATTCAAAGTACCAAACAGAATTGGAAGGGACATGTTCCAGTTTGTTCCTGTAAAATTCAGCATCACATTTATCAACTGTAAAGAGAAAAGTCTTTTCTCAAACCATATTTTTTAGGAGTCACATCGAGTCTTCTAAAGTCACAGGGTTCAAGTCCGAGTCACTGACCTTCAAGTCCAAGTCGAGTCCCAAGTCTTAGTCCATTTTATCAAGTCAAGTCTCGAGTCCTAAAAAGAGTGACTCAAGTCTGACTCGAGTTCAAGTCGCGACCTGCAAGTCCCACCTCTGACTTCTACTAAGACCCTCACACCCTCACTTCCTCTGTGTTTTTATACAACTCCAGGTTTGTTCGTAATGAGGAAACAACATTATAACACAGAATAAAAATAGTGCAATATAGTTAAAGTTAAAGGCAAGGATGTGAGGTGTTTGGCTCATGGACACAACAACAGTTTATACTCTGGCTGGTGCTGGTGATCAAACCTCTGACCGTCTATACTGTCCAGTTTATCTGTATACACTGAATCTGTAAACAGTCCAGTGAGGTTCATTTGGTCGTCCGATAGTTTGTGTTATTAGGTTCTTTTTTCAGACCAAGAGTTTGTTTTCAGACCTGACAGTTTGTTCTGCTCCCTGCGCTCTTCCTTGGAGTCTTGTGATGTTTCTCTGACATGTCTGGTCAGCTGATTTAAACAGGTTTTGGTTCAGTCTTCCTACCGGTGGAGGCAGGACGACAGCGCCACCTGCAGTCCCACTTCCTCAGGACAGTGTCCCAGGTGTGTGAGAGTAAAAAATGCCTCTTGTCCCGGTTTATCGTCCTGTGGGCACTTTTCCATATTTCGAATGCCTTTTTAATCCAGCGACAAAGTTTGTTTTCCTCACCTTTTGCAGGTGGCGCTGTCGTCCTGCCTCCACCGGTAGAAAGACGGCGCCAAAACCTGTTCAGATCAGCTGAGCGACACAAGTCAGTCATAGAAATGATTAGGTTCAACATTTGTGTGTTTATTTTTTAGCTATTTGATGCCAAAGTACAATGTACTCATTTGAAAAAACAAAAACAAAACCCAGCCCTTGCCTCCATCTGAGAGTATGACATCATAACTTTCTAGAATCTGAAAACTATAAAACTGGGACAGATCAATAGTTTTACATAAATCTGCTGGGACAGGGGACACAGGCTCAAAACTGGGACTGTCTCAGGTCAACAGGGACGTCTGGTCACCCTAGTTTTTGGTCAAGTCAGTCATATAAATTATTAGGTTCAACATTTGTGCATTTGTTTTTTTAGATATTTGATGGCAAAGTACAATGTAATCAATTGAAGAAAAAAGAAAAATAAATAAATAAATAAATAAAACTCTGAGGTCCGCTGCAAGTGTTCATATTTTTAAAAGTAAACTCAAAACGTATCTTTTTAATTTAGCTTTTAATTGAAACTTTTACTTGTTTTATCATTATTATTATTATTATTATTATTATTATTACTATTTGCTTTTAATTAAATTACCATTAATATTTTATTTAGTCTCCATCTGTTTTTAGCTCTCTATTTATATATTTACTATAACCTTTAGGAGCTTTATGTTTGTTTTATTGTTGTATATATGCATGAAATAATGGGGTGGGGGGGTTGCTGTTATTTTTTAATATTGTAAAAAATTATTATTATTTTTTTTTTCTGTTGCATGTGAAGCACTTTGTGCTACATTCAAATGTATGAAAAGTGCTATACAAATAAAGTTTGATTGATTGATTGATTGAAAACTGGCACTTGCCCCCATCTGAGAGTATGACATCATTACATTTTAGAATCTGAAAACTATAAAACTGGGACAAATCAATAGTTTTAGATAAATCTGCTGGGACAGGGGACACAGGGCTCTATCCCGGGTAAATCGGGGCGTCTTGTCACTCTAGAAAACCTCCACTACATCTGGTTTCCTCGCGTCCCTCTTTGTTGTGGTTCTTTTCTGTCAGGCGCAGTCCGGGGCAGCCTGCTCAGCGCGGGGGTCCTTCGATGATGACGTAAGCGCTGCTGATTTGGAGGATGATGTTTTGAGCTAAACTTTTGTCGCAGCCTTTTCGCTTTTCTTCGTTTATTTCACATGATTTTTCACAAATGCGGAGCCCGTACTACAAGCCGCACAATGGCACCCACTGCACGTACACCAAACTGAAAGGTGAGCCCGCGATCTCGTCTTATTTCACCCGAATTCAACACTCAGGCTAGTTAGCATTAGCATTAGCATTAGCGGCTCATTTGTTTCTGCGTCGGAAACTTCAAGAAATCGTCTTTTTTTGTTGTAATAACGGAGTCGATCGCCATGAAAGTATGAAAGTATGATAGTCTAGGCTGATAATCTTGTAAATTAGACGTTTTACCGATTTAATTTGATTTTTAGAGCGTTTAAAAAGCTTTCAGGACCACAAAGAAGCCCTAATTAAAAGGCTCATACGTAACCTCGATCTTTTTTTTTTTTTTTTTTTTTTTTTTTTTTTTTTTTTACTTTTTTCTATTATAATTATTTACTATTATTTTAGCATTTTTTAAATTATTATTTTTATTATTATTTGTTATTTTATTATTATTATTATAAATATTTTTTTTTTGGTACGTAACTTCAATTAGACGTGCTGATTGTTACGTGCTTACGTGTCCAGACTCTGACTACACGTGTCTTTTACCATTTATTTTATGATTAATTTAAGAGCAGAAACATTTTATGATTTTTTTATTTATTAATTTTTTTTTTCTTTTACTTTTTTTCTATTATCATTATTTACTATTATTTTATCATCATTATTATTTTGTTTTTATCATATTTTGTTTGTTTGTTTATTAACTTTTATTAATTTTTATTTATTTATTTATTTTTTTGGTACGTAACCTTTTGCCTCGAATTTTTTTTTTTTTTTTTTTTTAACTTTTTTCTGTTATAATTATTTACTATTATTTTATCATTATTATTATTATTAGTTTTTAAAAATTTTATTATAATTTTTTATGCTTTTATTATTATTATTTTATTAATTTTTATTTATTTTTTTGGTAGGTAACCTCAATTAGACGTGCTGATTGTTACGTGCTTACGTGTCCAGACTTTGACTAAACGTGTCTTTTACCATTTATTTTATCATTAATTTAAAGAGCAGAAACATTTTAATGATTTAGAAAAATGTTGTTATAGATTTTTAGCCAACTCCAAATCAAAGATGGATAGTTTTCTTGAGTTACATTTACTTGAAAAACCTTTTAAAGACATTGTACTTTTAAGAGTACTTTTCTAGCAGCATACTCCTTTTTGTGTCGATCCTTTGAAAATAGCAGATTTTGTGCAGTATTTAAGATAATATTAAATTACATTGTTGTTATGATGCTAAAAATTTCAAACTCCTGCTTCGTTTGTGCATTTCTTGGCTGTAACATGATTTTCAAAAGATAAACATCATCTGCAGACAACTTGTCAGGAAAACATCCAAGATGCAGCACCTGGAAGATGTTAAAGCCCATTGTTTTGAAATAGAATGTGATTTTCAACATTAAATCATAGAACTTTCTTTTCTGTTCCCATGTGGCCTTATATCTGTGTAATCCCCCAGTGGTCCAGGTCAGGTCAAACCAGGTCTAAACCAGGTCTAAACCAGGTTTAAACCAGGTCTAAACTAGGTCTAAATCAGGTCTAAACCAGGTCTAAACTACGGTAGGTCTAAACTAGGTATAAACTACCGTAGGTCTAAACCAGGTCTAAACCAGGTCTAAACCAGGTCTAAACTAGGTCTAAACCAGGTCTAAACTAGGTCTAAACCAGGTTTAAACTAGGTCTAAACCAGGTCTAAACTAGGTCTAAACCAGGTCTAAACTAGGTCTAAACCAGGTCTAAACTAGGTCTAAACCAGGTTTAAACTAGGTCTAAAACAGTCCGTCAGTCGTCCAGGTAGAATCCACGGCAAAAGGAGAAATTCAATTTGTCAGCTGGACTAAAGTTTATTTTGGTTGAATATGTTTCGCAGCTCAATCCGAACTGAAGAAGCAACTTGGATGAGCTGCGATGTATTCAACCAAAATAAACTTTTGTCCAGTTGGCGAATTGAATTTCTCATTTTGTCACCTTCTCAAATAAGTATCTAGTTTTAGTGTTGATTAGAATAGTAGTTTCAATACTTTTTTCAACATTGCTTGGACTGTACATTTGCGTTTCTTTTTATTTCTCTCTTGATAACACGTCCCCCTCTTCTCTTCTCTCGACTCAGCAGCCTCCTCGTCCTCCGGCCCCTCCCCTCTGGCCGCGATGCCTCAGAAGCCGCAGAAGCCGGCTCAGACCACCCACTACATCGAGCTGGGCGGGTACCAGTACTGGCCCGTGCTGGTGCCCCGGGGCATCCGGCTCTACACGTACGAGCAGATCCCAGTGTTTTTGAGGGACAACCCCTACATCACCGACGGCTACAGGGCCTACCTGCCCTCGCGCCTCTGCATCAAGAGGTCAGGACTCCTCCTTTTTATCTGTGTAATGGTTTCTTCTTAAAGCTGCACTGTGTAACTTTTCGTTCGGGGGTCCATCACCTGCTTGTTTCTACGGAGCTCTACCTAGAATATTCCACAGTGTGACATTAAACAGCTCTACTTTACATTTATTCAATTACAGGTGGTTTTATAGCTGAAAAATACAAAAAAAAAGTAGGTATTCTAAATAAACTGGGTCTAAACTAGGTCTTAACCAGGTCTAAACTGGGTCTAAACTGGGCCTAAACCGGGTCTAAACTGGGTCTAAACTGGGTCTAAAGTAGGTCTAAAGTAAATCTAAATCAGGTCTAAACTGGGTCTAAACCGGGTCTAAACCAGGTCTAAACCAGGTCTAAACCGGGTCTAAACCAGTTGTAAACTGGGTCTAAACTGGGTCTAAACTGGGTCTAAACTGGGTCTAAACCGGGTCTAAACTGGGTCTAAACTGGGTCTAAACTGGGTCTAAACTAGGTCTAAACCAGGTCTAAACCAGGTCTAAAGTGGGGTCGCCTCTCCACAGATCTGACCTGTAACTTTTTGGTGTGTAATGATCCAAGTGTCACGATACGATATCGTCAAAAATCTAGGAAATCTAGGAAATTGAATTCTTTTGCCTGGTGTCTGCTCCTGAAGACTCCCTCAGGTTCATTTTTTCCTTCTGTGGTTTTCTTTGGGACGACACTTAATCTGTCGAGGATGGAGGAGATGAATCGAGGAGAAGGAAACGAGGAAAGAGAAATGAGACGAATCCGTGTATCATTCCTTCATTTGTTTTCAATATAAAACCAAAAATAAGAAAACGAAAAAACAACAGTTTTCTTCATTATTTATCTCCAAAACCAAAATGAAAAAACGGATAACCGCCGTTTCCCAATTACGTGACGTCCGTGACTGCGATGCCGAACTTTTGCACTGCGTACGGACTGAACCAGGACTGATCCAAGTCCGGGACCAGAGCGGGACCAGAGCGGGACCAGAGCGGGACCAGAGCGGGACCAGAGCGGGACCAGAGCGGGACTGAGACCAGGACCAGACCGGAACTGAGACCGAGACTAGGCTGGGACCAGGACTGAGACCAGGACTGAGACGCGGAGGACAGGAGTGGGCTGCTCCTGTCCGTCCGAACCTGTAGTCCACAGCGCATTCTCGCTTTTCCTGTACGGAACCAGTGCAAAGGATGTCACGGAACCGCTCGGACCGCTGGTCCCGGTCTTAGTCCCGCTCTGGTCCCGGTCTGGTCCCGGTCTCAGTCCCGGTCTGTTTCCGGTCTGAACCAGGACTGATCCGGACCTTGATCAGTCCTGGTTCAGTCCGTATGCGGTGCAAAAGTCCGGCATCGCAGTCACGGACGTCACGTAAACGTCCCTTATCCGTTTTTCCACTCTTCATTTAAACACAAAATCAAAAACTGAAAAAACTAATCATTATCCGTTTTTTCATTTTGGTTTTGGAGACACATAATGAAGAAAATAGTTGTTTTTTCGTTTTCTTATTTTTGGTTTTATATTGAAAAACAAATGAACAAATGATACACGGATTGAGACGCGGCCCAGGTCTGAATAAAAACACTGCTAAATGTAACTGTTGTGTGTGTTTTGTGCGTGTGTTTCAGTCTGTTCATGGTGTCCAACGAGTCCGTGAACATGTGGAGTCATCTGTTGGGCTTCCTGCTCTTCTTCTGCCTCGGCGTCTACAACATGGCGTCGGTGCTGCCCTCTGTCGGCGCCTCCAGGGAGGACTACGTCATCTACTCCGTCACCCTCTTCTGCTTTCAGGTACAGAGCCAGAGTGGGGCTCCGTCTGTGTGTCAGTCGTTCATTCATTTTTCAAAATAAAACCAAAAACAACTATTTTCTTCATTATTTGTCTCCAAAACCAAAATGAAAAAACAGATAATGATTCGTTTTTTTTCTGTTTTTGTTTGTGTTTAAATGAAAAATGGAAAAACGGATAAAGACAGTTTCCTGTTTTACGTGACTTAAACTGCGATGACGGACTGAACCAGGACCGAGACCAGGACTGAGACTGAGACTGAGACTGAGACTGAGACCGGGACCAGAACTAAGACCTGGACTGAGACCGGGACTGAGACTGGGACCAGGAACAGGACCAGGACCAGAACTGAGACCTGGACTGAGACCAGAAATAGGACTGGGACTGAGACCGGGACCAGGAACAGGACCTGGACTGAGACCTGGACTGAGACCAGAAATAGGACCAGGGCTGAGACCGGGGACTGAGATCGGGACCAGACCAGGACAGAGACTGAGACCGGGACCAGGAATGAGACTGGGACTGAGACCTAGACTGGAACAAGACTGGGACTGAAAACAGTTTAGTCCTGGTTCAGTCCTGGTTCAGTCCTGGTTCTGTCCTGGTTCTGTCCTGGTTCTGTCCTGGTTCTGTCCTGGTTTAGTCCTGGTTTAGTCCTGGTTTAGTCCTGGTTCTGTCCGTTATCCATTTTTTCCATTTTTCATTTAAACACAAAATCAAAAACTGAAAAAACAAATCATTATCCGTTTTTTCATTTTGGATTTGGAGACAAATAATGAAGAAAATCATTGTTTTTTTTCATTTTCTTATTTTTGGTTTTATTTTGAAAAACAAATGAACAAATGATACACAGATTTCAGTCCTTGTGGTTAAACGTGTGGAATCGAATCAGCATTTTAACTCAATAAAATCAAACTGACCATTTCTTAAAAACATAAAAAAGGGTGCACTGTGTGACTTTACTCTTCTACTTTTCTCTTTCTACTCGCTCAAATGTTTTTGTCAAACTAAATGTCGTCGTGCCCCGGTGCAGTTGTGCATGCTGTGCTCGGTGGGCTTCCACGTCTTCTGCTGCCATCGCTCGGAGAAGACCAGTCGGCGCTGGATGGCCCTGGACTACGCCGGTCTGTCCATCGGGATCCTGGGCTGTTACGTTCCCGGGGTCTTCTACACTTTCTACTGCAACAACGTGAGTCTGGGGCCCATCAGAAAACACACAAGTCAACACAAAAAAACAATATTACACAAAAGCGACTCTTGTGAGCTTTAAGTTGTGTTTTAATTTTGTTCTGTCCTCCAAAACAGACCTGGAGTTGTGTTTTCATTTCATTTTCATTCACATGTGCAGTGTTGGGAAGGTGACTTTTAAAATGTAATCCCCTACAGATTACAGATTACATACACCAAAATGTAGTTTGTAACGGAATCCATTAAATTACTTAAAGTGAGTAATGTAATCTGAATACTTTGGATTACTTGATTTGCTGTAGGGAAACAAAGACGAGGAAATCTTCACTTAAGATGTTTTGTCGGATAAAAGAAAATAAAAAAAGTCCAAACTTTACTGAACCAAATTAAAAATATTATTGATAGAAGACGAGGAAACACGTCCACACAGCAGGATTTAGACCTGTTTAGTCCTGGTTTTAGACCTGGTTTAGTCCTGGTTTTAGACCTGGTTTAGTCCTGGTTTTAGACCTGGTTTTAGACCTGTTTTTAGACCTGTTTTAGACCTGGTTTTAGACCTGTTTTAGACCTGGTTTTAGACCTGTTTTAGGCTTGGTTTTAGACCTGTTTTAGGCTTGGTTTTAGACCTTGGTTTAGACCTGTTTTAGACCTTGGTTTAGACCTGGTTTTAGATCTGGTTTAGACCTGTTTTAGACCTTGTTTAGACCTGGTTTTAGACCTGGTTTTAGACCTGGTTTTAGATCTGGTTTTAGACCTGGTTTAGACCTGGTTTAGACCTGGTTTAGACCTGGTTTAGACCTGGGTTAGACCTGCAATGAGTGGAATTACTAAAAAAATGTGAAAACAGGAAAATCCCGCCGTGTAATCCATTTATTTCAACAAAGTAACTGTAATCCAATTACCACTCACTGAAACAGTAACTGTAACTGAATACAGTTACTCATCATTTGTACTCTGATTACTCTGGTACATGTAATCTGTTACTCCCAACACCGCACGTGTTTGAGTAACTCTTTATTATTAGTCTGTCTACATCTCCACAGCTCAAAACGCTCTGTCCCACCTTGTGATGTCATGAAGCGGTAGTTTTCAAGTGAACAGCTCCTTTTTACCTTCTGTTTAGTAGAGATTCGGCAACTCCAGGTCTAAAATGGTCCAAATGATGAGGTGTTTATTGTTTAAAGCCTAAATCTGCAGGTTTGTGTGTTAAACATGTGTGAATGAAACAAAACGCAACTCCAGGTCTGTGTGTGACGAGGAAACGACTTTAGAACAGATCAGAACATAGTGTAACATGAGCCCTTTAAAGCTCCTAAATGTGTGTGTAAATGTGTGTGTAAATGTGTGTGTAAATGTGTGTTGTTTTCTCCAGCAGCTTCATAAATCTGTTAAATCCATAACATTAGTTTAGTTCAGTGTGTCACTAATGTGTTGTCATTGTTTCCTTTAAGTTTTGTTCTTTCTTCTCTTGATATTTGTGGATAAATTGTTCATGTTAGAATGTTTCTCCTTTGTGGAGTTTGTTGGTTGAAGATTTGGTGATGGGGCAGATTTATGAAACTTACACACACATTTACACAGATATTTTACTACAGAAAAACATTAACCGGAATCTACAGCAGGACACTTCTGGCCGTAGTGAAAAAGCTCTATTGTGGTATCAGTATCGAGTATTGATCGTTTTCAGATTCTAGACTGTGATGTATCGCGCTCCCAGATGAAGCGAAGGGCCAGAGATTGATCAATAACGTTGTATTTTGCCATGAAATCTCCAAAAGTTAAACTCACAAATGTTCAGTGTTGGGAAGGTGACTTTTAAAATGATTACATACCCCAAAATGTAGTTTGTAACGTAATCTATTAAGTTACTTAAAGTGAGTAATGTAATCTGAATACTTTGGATTACTTGATATTGTCATGTTTTTTAAGGCTACATGAATGTAAGAACCACATCCTGAAAATTCATGTTTGTTTTCTTCAAATTGGTCCTGGTTTTGGTCCTGGTTTTAGTCCTGGTTTTAGTCCTGGT